TATAGTGATATCAATCGCTCTTCTTGGCCGTGGTTTTTCCCTTATTCAGAAGGGTTTCCACGTAAAATTTTGGTGTCATTTTTGCTGCATTTTTATTCTTGCTGATTTAACCATAACATAGTGGTCCACGTTTATCACTAATACCGTAAATATTATTTTTACGAGATTTATTCCCAAGTGGTATCAGAGCCAAGGTTCTGTCTTAGTATGCTCTGTCGTTGCAGCACAGTTTGAACTTCCACATCAGAAAAGAATTACTTTGGTCTCTTAATAAATAGTATTTGTATTTGTGATAAACGATGGAAGCCAATACTAATATAATGACTACTTTGAGTGGCACAAATTATGCCATTTGGAAGGGTAAAATGGAAGATTTGCTCTATGTCAAGAATTTTCATCAACCTGCATTCGCTACTATAAAGCCTGATAATAAATCAGATGAAGAGTGGAATTTGTTACACGGGCAAGTTTGCGGCTTTATTAGACAATGGGTTGACGATAATGTTTTGAACCATATTTCCGGGGATACACATGCTCGAACCCTATGGGAGCACCTTGAAAGTATGTATGCTCGGAAAACTGGAAACAATAAGATGTTTCTAATAAAGCAGATGTTGGGTTTAAAATACCATGATGGTTCCGCAATGACAGATCATCTGAATAATTTTCAGGGGATTATGAACCAGCTATCTGCTATGGGCATTAAATTTGATGAAGAAATTCAAGGCCTGTTTCTACTTGGTTCCTTATCAGATTCTTAGGAAATTCTTAGAAGTTCATTATCAAATTCTGCTCCGGATGGTGTGTTCTCTATGGATCTTGTCAAGAGCAGTCTTTTAAATGAAGAGATGAGAAGAAAATCTCAGGGTTCCTCCTCATCAGATGTCTTGGTGACTGACTCTAGGGGGAGAAGCAAGAATCGGGGTTCTCAAAATAGAGAACATAATAGAAGCAAATCCAGAAGCAGACTTAAAGATATTGAGTGCTATCATTGGGGGCAGAAAGAGCATACAAAGAAGTTCTGCCGGATTTTGAAAAAGGAGAATAGAGACAAGGAAGAACAGAAAGAAGATGTCAATCGTGTGGCCACCGTCACTACAGAAGATCTTGTTACTGTCCTTGATGCAGATCTGATAAATATTGCTTGTGATGAGTCAAGCTGGGTTGTGGATAGTGGTGCCGCATCTCATGTGACATAAATGAAGGAATTTTTCTCATCCTATACTCAAGGTGACTTTGGAACTTTGAGTATGGGTAATGAGATTGTATCTAGGGTGGCTGGTGTTGGAACGATTTGTTTGGAAACTAGTATTGGAACTAAACTTGTTTTAAACAATGTAAAGCATGCACCTGATGTTCGTTTGCACTTGATATCTGTTGGTGTTTTGGATGATGAGGGATATGTCAGTACCAATGGTGCTGGAAAGTGGAAGCTCACTAAGGGTTCCATGATTGTGGCTCGTGGGGAAAAGTGTCGTGGTCTATACTGGATTACGGCCTCTACCTGTATTGATATGGTGAATGCCCTTGAGAGCAATAACTCTTCAACGTTATGGCATAAGAGGCTTAGCCATATTAACGAGAAAGGACTAAATGTTCTGGCTAAGAAGAAATTGTTGTCAAATTTTAAAAGTGAAAAATTAGAAAAATGTGAGCACTGCTTGGCTGGAAAACAAAAAAAGAGTTTCTTTCGAGTCTCATCCTTCTTCAAGAAAGACACAGTTGCTTGAGTTGGTGCATTCGGATTTATATGGCCCAATGAAGACAAGGACTTTGAGTGGTGCACTTTATTTTGCTACCTTTATTGATGACTTCTCAAGGAAACTTTGGGTCTATATCTTGAAGACCAAAGACCAAGTGTTGGGTGTCTTTAAGCAGTTCCAGGCTTCAGTTGAAACAGAAACTGGAAAGAAGCTGAAGTGTATTTTGTACTGATAACGGTGGTGAATATTGTGGACCGTTTGACGAATACTGCAAGCAATAGGGTATCAGACACCAGAAGACTCCTCCTAAGACTCCTCAGCTTAATGGTTTAGCAGAAAGGATGAACATGACCTTGATAGAAAGAGTCAGCCGTTTGCTTTCTGTAGCAAAGTTGCCGAATTTCTTTTGGGGTAAGGCTTTGTTGACCGCCGCACATGTTATTAATCTATCCCTTGCGTTTGCTTTGCAAAGTGATGTTCCAAACAGAGTTTGATATGGCAAGGATGTTTCCTATGACTACTTAAAAGTGTTTGGTTGTAAAGCTTTTGTACATATACCTAAAGATGAAAGGTCAAAATTAACTGCCAAGACAAGGCGGTGCATCTTCATTGGTTATGGCCTTGATGAGTTTGGTTACAGGCTATATGATCTAATTGAGAAGAAGGCCGCGAGAAGCCGTGATGTTATCTTCGTGAAGGATCAAACCATTGAAGATATTAATAAAGCGGAGAAGCTAAAATCTCCAAGTTCTAAAGGTTTAGTTAATCTTGATCAAAATCCTCATGCAAATACGGATGTGGTCTCAATGATGAGGGTAATGCCTAGAACCATATTCCAGATCAGCATATTGATGGTGATGGTGATGGTGATAACAATGCTAATGCTGATGAGGTAAATGCTCTTACTCATGAAGCTGTGGACGAGTTAGATATTCTGCTCAGGAGGTCTTCTAGACCTCGTACTCCTTCCTCCCGTTATTCACCCAATGAGTATGTATTACTCACTGATGGGGGAGAACTTGAATGTTATGCGAAGACCATAGAAGATGAGCACACAGATCAATGGATTGAAGCCATGCAAGATGAGATGAAATCTCTGCATGAGAACCATACTTATGAGTTGGTGAAATTGCCTAAGGGCATGAGAGCTTTGAAGAACAAGTGGGTGTTCAAAGTTAAAGCTGAAGAACATAGTTTGAAGCCAGATACAAAGCTAGATTGGTTGTCAAGGGATTTGGTCAAAGGAAAGGTATTGACTTTAACGAAATATTTTCTCCTGTCGTGAAAATGTCCTCCATTCGGACAGTTCTTGGTTTGACTGCCAGTCTTGATTTGGAGATTGAGCAGATGGGCGTGAAGACTGCTTTTCTTCACGGTGGCTTAGAAGAGGAGATTTATATGGAACAACCTGAAGGCTTCAAGGCAAAAGGTTAAGAAAATCTTGTATGCAAACTTAAAAAGAGTCTATATGGATTGAAGCAGGCTCCTAGATAGTGGTACAAGAAGTTTGAGTCTATTATGGGGGAGCAAGGCTACAAGAAGACTTCTTCAGATCATTGTGTGTTTGCACAAAGTTTTTCTGATGATGATTTTATCATCCTATGATATGTTGATTGTGGGCAGGAATGCTTACAAGATTGACGAGTTAAAGAAACAGTTGAATAAGTATTTTGTAATGAAAGACTTGGGTCATGCTAAGCAAATTTTGGGCATGAGAATTACTCCTTCGAGAAACGAAAGAAAGCTTTACTTGTCACAAGAGAAGTACATAGAACGTGTACTGGAGCGCTTTAATATGAAAAGTGCTAAGTTGGTTCGCACACCACTTCCTGGTCATCTGAAGTTGAGTAAGAAGATGTGTCCTACAACAACGGAGGAAAAAGAGAGAATGGCCAAGATTCCTTACTCCTCTAATGTCGGAAGTTTGATGTATTCAATGATATGCACTCGACCAGATATTGCTCATGCAGTCGGTGTTGTTAGCAGATTTCTCGAAAATCCAGGAAAAGAGCATTGGGAAGCTGTAAAGTGGATACTCAGGTATCTAAGAGGAAGTTCACATGAATACTTATGTTTTGGAGGATCAAATCCAATTCTGAAGGGCTATACAGATTCTGATATGATAGGTGACCTTGATAACAGAAAATTCACTACTTGATATTTGTTTACTTTTTCAAGAGGAGCTATATCATGGCAGTCGAAGTTGCAGAAGTGTGTCGCATTATCTAAAACTGAAGCGGAGTATATTGCGACTACTGAAGTTGGCAAAGAGATGATATGGCTCAAGAGATTTCTTCAAGAACTTGGATTGCGACAGATGGAGTATGTTGTCTATTGCGACAATCAGAGTGCAATAGACCTGAGCAAAAACTCCATGTACGATGCGAGAACAAAACACATCGACGTCAGATATCATTGGATTCATGAGCAAGTGGAGAACGAATCACTTCAAGTCAAAAAGATTCACACGAGTGAAAATCCTGCAGATATGTTGACCAAGGTAGTACCAAGAGACAAGTTCGAGCTTTGCAAAGAACTTGTCGGCATGCGCTCAATCTTGAATCTCCGGTGTTACCTCCTTCAGGTGAATGAGACTAGAGGGGGAGATTTGTGGGGTCCATCCTATAAATTTAGGAAGACTTTTCTTCCTTTGTTGGTTTTTCAAAGTTTACAGCAATTTTTTCTTGTGCATTGTCAAAAAGGGTAGGCTACAGAAGAAAAATGTCAAGTGTAGTAGGTGAGACTCTGTCTATAAAAGGAGAGCTTTGACTCTCATTTCCATACACCATAAACATCAGACAATACATCTGAGTGAGAGAGAGAGAGAGCGCGCAAGGTATTCCATAGACTATAAGAAAATAGTCTGTGAAGAAAAATAGAGTGAGAGAGATATTATAGTAAGGTGGAAAAAGCAAAAAAGTATTTTTTTTCTTTTGAGGGTGTAGTGGTCTTAGGAGTATTTTACTCGTTACTACACAGTGTAAATTTCCTTGCTATAGTGATATCAGTCGTTCTTCTTGGTCGTGGTTTTTCCCTTATTCAGAAGGGTTTCCACGTAAAATCTTAGTGTTATTTTTGCTGCATTTTTATTCTTGCTGATTTAACCATAACTTAGTGGTCCGCATTTATCACTAATACCGTGAATATTATTTTTACGAGATTTATTTCCAACAGTATCTAGCTTGAAATTCAAGAATGAAAAGTATATATATATTCAAGATTTTGGTACTGAGGGCGTCCAATGCTTTGAATTGATTTGCTAAACTTTGTAGACCATTGCTAAACTAGAATTGAATCTTGCATTCGAAATATCGAGACATATAATATATCAAGATTCAAGAGGGACGTTGCCTAAAAAGTTTTGCCAAAAATTGCTTGTTGTTTGCAAAGTCTAATGCAACAAAGCTGATGCATCCACCAGTTCAAATTCTTACAAGTCCCACAATAATGGCAAACAATTCAAATACACCAATAAGGTAATAATTTAAGCAACACACAATCATTGGAGAACACTTCATAAGTTCCAACCACCAAATTTCCTCAATATTTTCTGAAAGCGCTTTAGTGGGAATTTACCTGCATCAAAAGAAACAAGAATGATCAGTAGACAACAGGTAATTTTACTTTTTTGGCTATCTATATTCTTCGACTTCAGCTTTTTGGTCTTTCAAAGTTTTCCTTTGTGTCAACTTGCTATGTTGAAAGACTATCTAGTCGATCCCTTAAACCCTAAACACCAGCATATCCTCAGACCTCAAAATTTGGTAGCACATGCTCATTTCATTTGTCAATTAGCACTACTCTATTAATTAAGGCAGAATACATAGTCGATCGGCCTCCAAAACTAGACAATATTTCTCACGTAAACCAAGAATATATAGTAAGTACTATCTATTAAACACTTGAAGTGAAGACAAATTATGTCAATTAGACGCAGGCTGCTAACTAGAGTGATAGAGATGTATGTTTCATGAGGAACTGGAGACATACTTGGGAAGCCAAAAGACGGTAGGTCGGTCTACTCATGAAGCTCAAGGGACTTCTTGTCAGTAGGCAATTGATGATAGGAAGGAATTCCTCCTTCCATCATATTAAGTTGAAGCATATTTCTTGCTAAATATTGCTGAATTGCACTGTAATCTTGCCCACCAGTAGGCATCATGCTTAGTTCCTGAAGCCTCTCATTTTCAGCTATCTGGAAAGAAGATAAAAGACATGATTAATTGTTTGAAAATAAGTGAAGGAAAAATTTAGGTTTGTCTCTTCATTATTAATGCTAAATGTACCTTTGATCTGAGGAATGCATTTTCTTGTTCAAGTTGAATTTCCTATTAAGACAGCAGGTTGAAGATTAAAATGTGCTAATCATAGTTATATCTGCGGCTCTAGACCCAAAACAGATCGAATAAGTAGGATAGAACAAGTTTCAAGAAATTACCCTCTTCTGCAAATTCTCAGTTTCAGCTAGTATCATCTCATGCTGTTCAACCACATATATAAGAAACATCGATCAAAGCCATTTATTAATTAAGAGGATAGTACGGACAATAAAAATACTTTGCCACGTTGGCTAAATATCGTCACTATAGGATACTATAATAAAAGGCTATGAGGTTACTGTAATACCCCAGACTTTAGACAGAGTCTCACATCAGCAAAATACAAGAGGGATGCTGGGTATATAAGTTAATAAGCCTTAGATCCTAGTGACACGTTTTAAACCCGTGAGGGCCTAGGCCCCGAGCGAACAATATCACTAGCGGGCTGGGGTGTTACAGTTACAATTTGAAACACAGTATGTACGATTTTTACTAGTATTCTTAACAATATTAGTGTACCTTTTTTGACCTAATTCTAGTAATGCCTCGTTCAAGTCTATTCTCCAACTGCTTCAGCTCCCTTACGTTCAAAGAGCTTAAGCCTTCACCAACCAAATGCCTGTGGATATAAAGTTAATGTAATAACTTTTAGAAAACAATGATATTAGTTTTAAGTTCATCTTAAATCTTATGCAATAATTATGATATTATTACCTGTTTGAATTCTGGATCATCTGTATCTGTTGGCGCAGCTTTTTCGATTCTTGTTGGTAAAACTACGTCCATGATACCCAAAAGAATTAATTTTAATGAGGCAACAATTAATTAAAAAATATTTTTGATGTTTCTGTATATGTGGAAATATAAAAATGTTTTGTTTAATTAATTACCTGAGCATTGAGCTCTTGAGTGGTGCAAGCATTAGAGGTTTCTGAAGTTGCCTTCTTGTACCGATCAATAGTTGCCTTAATGCTGTGTATAGCAAAAAGTTTTAATAGTCGGATGCTGATTTAGAATTTCAACTTTATGGGTTCAACTTTTAATATTTTTAGCATTAAACTCATTATATTACTATAGTTATGGGTTCATATCTACTATTTTTCTAATTTTTATAATTTTTTACACATAAAGTTTTGCTCCGCATCGAAAGTTATGGGTTCAATTGAACTCATCATTAACACCCTGCATTTGCCCTGTCAACAGTTTATAATAATAAAATACGGAGTATAAGATATTTAGAAAATAAAAAATAAAGAAATTAAACTTGTTAACGAGGAGTAAGATAAATGCAATAAATTCTTTTCAGCAGATATAATTTATCTCGTGAAATAAATGAACAAGGAACGTCAGCAGATGGTGTAAATTTATATCTTGCTAGATGGGAAAAAGAATCTGGGAAGCAATTACATTTTTTGTGCATAAAAAGATTTTAATAAGACCAAATGCTAAAAATAGAAACGATAAGTGAAAGAGAGGAATTTATCAAAGTGCAGAAAAAAGCATTAAAAAAGAAATGAAATTTAAATGGTGGATTTCTGGTGAACGTAAAGCATAAGATTTCGTCTTGAAAAGAGGAAAATAAGTTGTTTCATATTTTAATTACTATAATAATGTATGATGAAGGACTGCCAAGACTTGTTCTCTTCCCTCCTTTTCTCCTCCCTTTTTAATGCACTATCTTTGATATTTTCATGAAAATATTTTCATTTTTCACTTATAATAGGGTGTTATTACGTACTTATTTTATACAAAAGGCATCAATTACCCACGTAGCAGCATGCATTTGCCATATCCATGCAAAAGGGAAATCCTGGAGAATTAATTACCATGCATGAACTTGATCTTTTAATTCCAGTATATGTGTTAACGTAAAAGTGAACAGAGAAACTCCAGAGAATATTCAACATTAGTAGTATAAATTTACTTTCACTAGAAAAATACAGGCCAAAGCAGGAGAACTTAACAGTGTATAAGCTAGGAGTGGAAACTAAAAAAACTCCTGGAAACAGAAGCTCACAAACAATGAAAATGGAAAGGAATCACAAGTCACTGAGAGTAGTTCTTTAGTGCTTACTCTATTGTTTTTTCATGTATATATAAACCAATCTTTTTAATTTGTGATAATTAGTTATACATTGTTTTCTTGTATTTTCAAAAAGAATATCAAGAATTACAAATAAGGGAGGATATCTACTTTTAAATTTAAACTTTCTGGCTAATTTGACATGTTTTCATTTTCTTAGTCCTTATAGCTAAAACTCACTAATCATACATGACTTATTGAGCATCATTATAAACACAAATATTAAAAAACTAAATTTTACTCCATTCTTTAAAGCCTTTAATTTCGGGAGTAAACTTAATATAGTGCTTGTCTTATACATAATTATATATCCTCTACAATGTGTTATAATGATTAAGCACTTCTTGATCAGTTGACTTCCTTGAAGATCAGACAGCAAGAGATGGTCGAATGATTACACTGATATCAAGGAAATGAACGACAAAATAATGAAACAATGTATGTCCAGAGGCGGAGCCGTCAGGTTATGGATTCGGCCGAACCCAGTAGCTTTAGTTCAAATCATGTATTTATCCTAAAATTCTCATTAAATATGTATAAATTAATTTAGAATTAAAAAAATTAGGATCTGAACCCATAAACTTGAAATCCTCGCTCCGCCTCTGCGTATGACCATATATATGAGATGACAAAGCTAGCAGATTCAGACACAAATAACAATTTACATATATGCCTTAGTCCCAAATAAGTTGAAGTCGCCTTAACACATAAACAATGAGTAAGGAATGAAGAATTACTTGTTGTTAGAGTACTCGTAGACGCGGCCACGGCTGGAGAAAACAATAAGAGCAATCTCAGCTTCACAAAGTACTGAGAGTTCATAGGCCTTTTTGAGGAGTCCATTTCTTCTCTTGCAAAATGTCACCTGCCTATTTGTGTTGTTCTCTATTCTCTTTATCTCTATCTTTCCTCTCCCCATCTGTTTGATCACAATATATTTATCCTGATTAGTATTAGTTACCCAACCAAATGTAACAATATTATTGTCGTCATAATTAAAAAAGACAGTCCGGTACACTAAGCTACCGCTATACACGGAGTTCGGGAAAAGACTTGGACCACAAGGGTCTGTTAGTTGTCATCATAATTATATTGCGTATAATATTGGTCAAGTTTTCTTCCTATCTTAGACGGATCTGAGAACTAATTAGCAAGAGATATGATATAATTAACACCTATGTTTAATTTTGAGAATTAATAATAACAAGAGAAAAGGAAAAAAAAAAGAAGGAATTTTAGAACAAGAATAATTTCCACTCTTTTATATTCCCCTAGCATACTTAATAAATTATACTGTAGTTCAAATGGTGAATTGAGAAGAGAGAAAAAGAAAAGAATTTCACTTTTATCATACAAACAATAACTGGATTCACCTAAGGAACTACAATTTCCTTTGCTCGATAATTGAGCAGTGCCATTCAAAAGCCTCAGTTTTTTTTATAAAAAAATTCTTTTCTCATCTTAGTTGAGAGGGGGCAAGGGTAGAGGGGTTTGAGGATTAATATGAAATATTTAGAAATCACGATAGCAAGATCTTGTTCAAGAGTGCAAAGGAAATTATTTTAGTGCGAGTACAATCAGTGAACTTCATAAATGAATATTCTAAAATCACTGAACTGAAATTATTTTAGTGCGAGTGCAAAGGTCACGAGTTCGAGCAGTAGAAATAGTCTTGCAGAAATGTAGGGTAAGACTGCATACAATAGAACCTTATGGTCCGGCTTTTCCCCGAATCTCATGCATAGCGGGAACTTCGTGCACATGCCTATTTTTTTTTTTCTCTATACATCTCTCTCAGCACCGAGAAGCTTTAGGCAGTAAACATAAAGCACCATTCAAGTATCTAAGCACTAAAAAATTAAAACCGTTAGATCATACAACCAAGGGCAGATGTAGCATAGGAATATCATGTTCATCTGAACCCAATATTTTTTATGTATATTATAAATTTATATGTAAAAATTAATTAAAATTATAAAAAACCGTAAATATGAACGCATAACTATAAAAATGTAATGGGTTCGATAATAAGAACCTAAAAGCTGAATCCATAGAGTTAAAATCCTGGATTTGTCACTGCACATACCAATTACCTCCATGTTGGATGTAGTAGTAAGAAATATCAGCCATTAGTGTTGAAATATATATATATATAT